TTCCTGTGTGCCCTATGGGGGCAGCTGCTGCAGCAGGCCCAGCCTCTGAGGGTCCGTAACCAATCTGCCCTGTGCATGCATGGAACTCGGGGAACTTGGAGTAACTCACGAGACACGCACTGAGCAGAAGCCAGGGGAGTGCTGCCCTTGACATTTTAATTTTAATCCATTTTCGGTGTCAGCTGTCCCTCATTAACTCACTGAACTTAATTAGAAGGCCAACGAGAATCCCTAAACTATGCTTTCTCAGTGGTACCTAAGGAGCCAGTGCAGTCCAAGGTTGTCAACCAAAGTGAACGCGAACCCACATTTATCCAGGAAGCAGGTGCATGTTAAGGGTGGAATTCTTAAGACACACATCCCACGTGTCAAGGATAAATCCAAGCCCAAGACAAAATTAATAAAGCCTCCTCATAAACTGCAGCAAGAAAACCCTTCTGTCGACACCTTTGTTTCATCAGGAGTTCAAAGGTGTCAGGGAGTATGTTTTACTATGAAGAATGGAAACACACTGCCTCAGTGGGAAAAGTCCTATCAGGGTAGGATTTGTGGACTCGGAGAGCCCAGCTGGTATTCAAGGACATTTGGCCATCGCAGTTAGCTGCAAGGGGCAAGCAGGCAGTTTGGGACATATCAAGAGAGGAAGGGGTGGTGGGTTTTCTGTGGCAGCCATTTCCTGGAACAACAGGGGGGTCGATGGGATGCCTTTCTGTGGTCAAATTGTTGTCATGGTTATAAGGGGGAGGGCGTGTACGGCTGTCATGGCAGGAAGTTTCTCATGCCTTCGCCAAACTTAAAAATAGTTACAATTTTTGAGTTGGGAGTTATCTTAAGTTCATCTGGTCACTCTGACTCACCATCCACCCTTCAGCCCCCACCCCGAGTCCATTCAACAAATGGGAAAACTCAGAAACAGGACTTTGGTGTCTAAGCCTCAGAAGTCGTCAGAAGCAGAACTGGAAAGTTTTCCTGGATCCTAGGACTGACTATAACCATCGTACCTCTCAGAAATAAAAAAAGGAAAAGAGTCAGTAGTAACAGCAGCCAGTTCTAGCCGGGCCCACTGATGCCCACGCTTCATTAACAAGTCTCATTTGGGGGCCCAGGGCTTCGGGGAGCCTGAGTCCTTCCCCATCGCCAGTGTATGTGGGGGCCCTTAGTTGGTCGAGACGGAGTCAGCTCTTCAGATTTAATTGTGGCCAATGAAAGTGAGGAAAACGTGGGTGTCAGGAAACACTGTGAGACTGAAATAAATTCTGCCCCCACCCGATTACTGGGTCTTCCATCTGGTCCACCCTTGTCTCCACCTTTCGCTCTCTTTAAGTTACTTTAAAATAATGTAAACAGAGGGAAACTGTTAATACAGGTAATTCCTGTCCACAGAAATGTGTCCAGTGGAATGTTAGCAATTCATGCTCTGTGGGTAACGATAAAAAGACCAGTCCCAGCCAGGACCACCGTCTGTGTGGAGTGTGCACACTCTCCCCATGTCTGCGTGTTTTTTCAGACTCCAATTTTCTTTCACATCCCACAGATGTGCACGTTAGGTAAACTGGTGTCTAAACTGTCCCAGTCTGAGTGTGGGAGTGCGTGTGAGCGTGCCCTCCATTGAAGAGTGTCCTGTCCCGGGTGAGTGTCCACTTTGTGCCCTGAGCTGCGAAGAGAGGCTCTGGCCACCCTTGACCCTGAAATGGAGTTAAGTGGGTTATGAAATAATTACCTTCTTTTACTTAACCTTTCTTAAATATAGTATACCTCACATTTATTTCAATATTTAATATTAGAAGTGTTTTTGGTCTTTATTTAGAAGTTTGGTGATATTTTTGTGACCAGAAATTTGCCGTAGAAATTTAACTCGTTTATGTCAATTAGGCTGGTTTCGTTATAAGTGGTTTTGCTTCAAGTCAGTTTCCCAGAATCAATGGATGACATGAAGTGAGGACTTACTATGTATTTGCTCTTTAGATTCTCCTTTGAACTAAATAAAACATCTTGCTACTTCTCTCATTCACGAGTTAAATAAGATCTTCAACATGTTCATTTTGTATTTGAATCATTTTACTTTCTAAAAAAATGTTATCCTTTAACATTTGTTGGTTAAATAAACTTAGTACATTTATTTGATTTTTATTACGGTCCTCTCATAATAGTTATGAAGACCATAAAGCAACATGGACATATACTCTTGATAAATCATTAAGTGAGAAAAAAAAGCAGAATACAGTATTTGTACAAGGCTGTGATTAAAACTAAAAACTTCAAGTGTCTAAGGCAAGAATTGGCAGGGAAGGAGGAAAAAAACTGAAGTCTGATTTATTATGTGGTAGGANAGGGAAACTGTTAATACAGGTAATTCCTGTCCACAGAAATGTGTCCAGTGGAATGTTAGCAATTCATGCTCTGTGGGTAACGATAAAAAGACCAGTCCCAGCCAGGACCACCGTCTGTGTGGAGTGTGCACACTCTCCCCATGTCTGCGTGTTTTTTCAGACTCCAATTTTCTTTCACATCCCACAGATGTGCACGTTAGGTAAACTGGTGTCTAAACTGTCCCAGTCTGAGTGTGGGAGTGCGTGTGAGCGTGCCCTCCATTGAAGAGTGTCCTGTCCCGGGTGAGTGTCCACTTTGTGCCCTGAGCTGCGAAGAGAGGCTCTGGCCACCCTTGACCCTGAAATGGAGTTAAGTGGGTTATGAAATAATTACCTTCTTTTACTTAACCTTTCTTAAATATAGTATACCTCACATTTATTTCAATATTTAATATTAGAAGTGTTTTTGGTCTTTATTTAGAAGTTTGGTGATATTTTTGTGACCAGAAATTTGCCGTAGAAATTTAACTCGTTTATGTCAATTAGGCTGGTTTCGTTATAAGTGGTTTTGCTTCAAGTCAGTTTCCCAGAATCAATGGATGACATGAAGTGAGGACTTACTATGTATTTGCTCTTTAGATTCTCCTTTGAACTAAATAAAACATCTTGCTACTTCTCTCATTCACGAGTTAAATAAGATCTTCAACATGTTCATTTTGTATTTGAATCATTTTACTTTCTAAAAAAATGTTATCCTTTAACATTTGTTGGTTAAATAAACTTAGTACATTTATTTGATTTTTATTACGGTCCTCTCATAATAGTTATGAAGACCATAAAGCAACATGGACATATACTCTTGATAAATCATTAAGTGAGAAAAAAAAGCAGAATACAGTATTTGTACAAGGCTGTGATTAAAACTAAAAACTTCAAGTGTCTAAGGCAAGAATTGGCAGGGAAGGAGGAAAAAAACTGAAGTCTGATTTATTATGTGGTAGGATCCTGGAGAATTTTTTAAAATTCTTAATTGTTATTACTCTGTTACATATTAAAACTAAAAGGAACGAAGGCTCTATATTAGTTTCCTATTGTTACTGTAACAAATTACCAGAAACTTAGTGGCTTAAAACAACACATATTTATCATCTTATAATTCTGAAGGTCAGAAATCCAAAATGAGTCTCACTGGGCTAAAACCAAAGTGTGGGTAGGGCTGGTTTCTTCTGGAGGCTGTAGAATTCATTTCCTTGCCTTTACCAGCTTCTAGGGGCCATCAGTATTCCCTGGCCCGTAGTCCCTTCCTCCACCTTCAAAGCCAGCAGCATGGCATCTTCAGATGTCTTTCTGTACTTATATATTTCTGATTCATTTAATGAATCCACCCACATAATCCATGATAATCTGGCCGCCCCAGGGTCCTTAACATAATCACGTCTGCAAATTCCCTTTTGCCATATAAGGTAACATTCACAGGTCATAAAAATTAGGATGTGGGCATCTTTGAGGGCCATGGTTTTGCCCATCACAGACCCTGTTCCTGATCCAGAGGGTTTCTCTGAACTTTAAATTCAATGAGAACTAACAACTTCTCTGTGTCTAAGCGAAGGTACCACACTGAGTGCAGAGTGTAAGAAGGCAGAGTGTAGGATCTCATTTAAATTAAATTTTTTAACAGGCAACGCTATGGTAGGAAAAAAATTAAAACAATTGTTGCCTCTGGGGGTGGGTGGGTACTGACTGGGAAAGGGCATAAGGAAACTTTGAGATGGTGATATTCTATCTTTGTAGGGTTTTAGGGTACAAAATTATAAACAAATACTGAATCCTAAAGATATATATTTAGGGGGAACTGTACTGACGTCTGCCATTTATCCTGAAATGTGATATAAAAAGATGGATTGATAGAGGGATGGATAAATATGTGATAGATACAATGTTTATAGTAAAAGCTATGTGGCAGGTGTATTTTTGTTCACTGTAAAAATCATGTTGTTTGACAATTTTTATAAAAGAATTTTGGGGAAAGTAAGATATGACCCTGAAATATCACTCTGGGTTAATAAAGGAATGGATTTGGAAAATCATTAAGCAAGTCCTTGAACAAACCTATTTAAAATCAAAGCTCTTCACTAGAGCAATTTTAGAAAATGCCTATACAGATGTGGGAGCATTTCTGGTGGTCTTGGTAATGAGGGAGGAGGGGAGTATATACAGGGTAGGGGCCAGAAAAGTACTGCAACCACCCAGCTTGTCCATGACAAAACCTCTGCACCAAATATCACTGAGGAACAAACACCAATTTAAAATCCAATCTTGCCTTTGTAGTTCTTCATCAATTTGCTGGTAGAGCATCTCCAACTTCTTGGTAACCCCAGATAACCTAGCATAGTGCTCTACCCAGACCGTGCATTTAATAAACATCTGATGATGGGTGAAGGGGTTCTCCCTGATCACCCCAGCCTGACCTCCAGGTAGTTCCCTTCACTAGTGACGAGGCAAACTTACCCCATCCCCCATTCCCCCACTCACCCCATCACCCGGAGAGACCAATGGGGAAGGATGTCCCTGCTGCAGTTCTGCCAGGACACAACCTCCCATACTACATACCCTCTGTCACACCTCTAACCCCATCCCACTGCACCAAATGGCAGGGGGAGGCACCTGAAAGTAACCAACATCACACCAAGCTGAGAAAAGCCAGCATAAAGCACTTTTATTGCAATAATAAAACTTGAAACTCATATGTAGTGCAGGGGGAGGAGGGAGGGGGGTAGGCAGCAATTTTTCTCACCAAATCACTACACAGGACAGCAAAGGAGTGAGAGGAGGGAAGGAAAAGCCAGGAAACTTTGAGCTCAGCAGGGGGAGGTGAGCATCAAAAGACAGGAGATGCTGAAGCTGTGATGACCAGCATCATTTTCTTAAGACAACACTCAAGGATTTGTCATGATGGCTGGGCTTTCATTGGGTTTTAAGTGTCTACAAACAGCACCTTCAATTTAAACTTTCAATTAAAGTTCTTAAAATTTAGGGAGTGGAGTCCTGGATAGCTATGACATTATAAAAGTCCTGAATATCTATTAGAAAAAAAACCCACAGGATGGGAGGGGGAAGCCAGGCCACGAAGAAGGCTTCAGAGGTCCCTGCTGGCCTGGGGACAGATACCTGTAGTGTCCAACATCGCAGTGAAAACTATTTGCTTTTAAAAGGCAGAGGGTTTAAGGGGAGAGTGGGATGGGGCAGTGGAGGCAAGGGCTCTCCCCCTCCCCACTTCAGTTTTGGGTAGGGCTCTTAATTCAACCCAAAGACATCTCTCAACTTGGAGATAATTCGGCCCTCAACAGCGCCTCAAATCTGCTATGGCTTTGCAGCGCAGCAGCAAGAATGTTTAATATATAATAGATAAAAATTTCATCCAAAAAATAAAATAAAATAAAGATTCTTGCATTCCCCCCCCCACACCAATTCCTAGTCTAAAGTTAACCCATTACTTGTGCTGTTAATACTTGACTAATACTTAAATGGAAACCTAGATCCAAAAGACTGAAACTGAATCTTCACCCCAAACAAAAACAAAATAAAAAGAATAACTTGAGGTTTATGGCATGTAATTTAGGTCAACACACATACGAGGAGAAAGGGGAAGAGCAAAGCTGGGTGACAGAACACATTCAGTCGGGGCAGATGTTTACACAAAGTGTAGTGGAACATCAGGAAAAGCTCCATACGGTTTCGCGTGTGCACGCTGGGGGCGCCAGATCCCTCCATGGCACATCTGTTGGGGACAGAAAATATGTGAGTTCCAGCCACTCAGTGTTCTTCGTGTGCAGTGGGGACAACTACAGGGCTGGCTCCCAAACCAAATCCCTTCCCCAACAGCTGTGAAGTCTTACTAGGACCAAGCCACTTCTGCTCGAGCTGGGGAGAGCCAGCTGGGCTCAGGCTGGATTTCCAGATGAACATCTTCCTTCCTGCTTAAATAGGTTGTGCTTTTTATTTTTTTAAAACCTAAGGTTAAGTTTACTTGCTGAGGACAATAGGAGGGGCAGTCCACCAAGGCCACTAGTACAGGTCCCTATCACCACTGGCTGCAGACAGGAACTTCCTGGGGAGCTTAAAAACATCTTTGATGCCTGGATCTCATTCCCAGTGACTGGAGCCATCTGGGGCCTGGGCATCAGAAGTCTTAAAAGCCTCCCAGGGACCTTTAATGTGCAAAACCTTAAGCTGATATTCCCCATGTTGAACATACTTAGAAAATGTCTGCAGTCTTCATTCATTCCCCCAACCTTTAACTTTCTGGGTTTGCTCTTGGGCATTCACCCTTGCAAGAAAATCTGAGATGCTCTTTGGCAGTGCATGGGGAGGCTTAGACCAGGGTAACTCTTAGCCATGCATCTCCCTCTCCTTTCCTTCTCCACCCACCATCCTATCAGATTTACAGAAAGCCTGTTCCCAGATCAGAATAACTCCAAGGCTCCCTCAACTACATTTATGTTCAAAGGACTTAGCTCTCAAAGAACAGGAAAGAGGGCTGGGCTAAGTGAAGACCTTTGGGCAGAGGCAGGTCTCTAAAGTATTAGGAGTTCCCCTGGTAGGAACGACCAACAGAGAAGCCAGAGTCATCAAACCTGGCCAGAACTGTATGACCCAGGTGTGTAAGGCTCAAACCACTAAGAGAGAAAATAGCTATTAATAAAAAAAGCCCCTCTACTTAATGATGTCCACAATAGAACAAGGTTACACCATAACAGACAGCTGGCAGCCACTTATTATAGCTTTCAAACAAAAGCATTCTTCCCAGCCACTGGCTGTGGTCCTCTGGATCCAGAGGCAGGAGGGGAACAAACATAGAGGTCTGGGGCCAGCTGAAAAGAAGATGACAACATTCATGTGTTTTGTGATTCTAATACCCACGTGAGAAATTATGTGTCATTAGGATATGGAGTTTGGTTTCCTAGAAATGAAGGTAATGGGAAGAAAAAAAGTCCAGGATAGGAAATCATGAAAGGAGTTCTGGTCCTAGTTTGTCAGTGACTAAATGCGACCTTGTAAGGCCTTTTTCTCTGGGCCTCAGTTTCCTCACCTGTTGCGTAGGGAGGCTGACTCCCTAAGATTCCTTCCTAGGACTGTCTGAGAACACCCTTTATACTTCAATAACATCCTCTGGCCTCAACTGTCCTGGGATTGCTCCCCAAGGCAGGTAGCCACAAACGAAGACTGAGAGAAGTGTACAAACCAGGCAGGATAAGCAAAGTCACCAACAACCTTCCTTCTAAAGAACTAAAATATTGGCACTAAAAATAGGCCTATATTTCCAGTTCCCAACTGAGGTTCAGTTTATAAGCTACATATAAAAATACTTTTAACATTTAAAACAGCTACCATCAGCTGCCCGATCCCCATGAGTACATTCAAGAACATATGCCATCCCTTTCCACAGGGTGACCAACCTTTACATTCAAGGTGTACACCGATAACTAAAACTGAAAGGATACCCGAGAAAGGAAGAATGCACAGGGGGAAAAGCCCTTGGCATTTTTGGTTCTCTCTACTACCTATCAAATACTGAACATAACACAGGAGGAGCAAAGGTAGTTAAAGGTCCTTCAGTATTAAGTTCCTTTCTTACCCAAGCACAGGGAGCTCAGGGAGTAGGCCATTCCTGTCATTCCAGTTTTAGAAGTTCCACGTCAAAGACAAGAGTGGCATTTGCTGGGATGATGCCTGGGTGCCCAGTGGCACCATAGGCATAGTCTGGGGAAATAGTCAGCTTGGCTCTCTGACCCACACTCATCTGTGAAAAGAACAAGGGAAAAAAGAATCAGCTGGACGCACCCCTCAACTGTCTCCAGAAGCAGCTTGGGTGTCCTGTGCCCAGGACGGTATGAGGACATTCCAGTGACTGAGCAGCTGCCTGGGCACCATGCATCTCCCATGCAGGACATGGAGGTTGGCAGTCAGGTGGGATGATCCTTGCATCTGGCTCCAGGGGCCCAATGGCAGATAAAAACCTCTGATTCCCAAAATGGTGAGGCCTTCAACCTTTCTGCCCAGGTATTACTGATCTGACTGACTCTAGGCAGCCAACACTCTGGAAGTGTCAACACCTAGTCCTTCAGTGGTCTGTCAGTGGCCTGTTAAGTGGTATCTATGCTCTTGAAAAAGGAGTACTTTGATCAAAACTTTGCTTTAAAAAACACACACAGAGAAAGTAATATCTGGGGGGTAGTCTACTTTTCTGTACTTCCTATACTTAGACTCATACTTCAGAAATATAGAAAAAAAGTTTTAAAAAGACAGTGATTTTCTGGAGTACAAAGTAGCATGATACAATATCTACCACTGTGTGAAAAAGAGAAAAATATTTATGTATCTATACGTGCCTATATAAACCAGCACTTTCCTATGGGGATAACAGAGTATAGTGACCAAGGCAGGATGCAACTGATTGATGAGATACATCGATGTTTGTCTCTCTCTCTAAAAAAAGACAAAAAACAAAAAACAATGGAAAAAATATCCTGGTGTGAGGATTAACAAAAAAAGAAAAAGAAAATAAAATGTTCACTTTAAAAATATATATTTGTATTGTGCTGGTTGGCATGGCTCAGTTGGGTGGAGCTTTGTACCATGCACCAGAAGGTTGGGGGTTCGATTCCCAGTAGTCAGGGCATATATCTAGGTTGTGGGTTTGATCCGCGGCAACCAACAGATGCATCTCTCTCACATATGTTTCTCTCTCTCTCTCCCTCCCTCTCTAAAATCAAGAAAAAAATTTATATGCAATTCTACTTCCAGAATCTTCTGCTAACAACCCAAATGCCCATTACAAGGGGAGTCATATCAAAAACACATCTATACCATGAATTAGCCACTAGAAAGAATATAGTGGCTTTAAATGTACTAACATGGAAAGATGCCCAAGATATATGGTTAAATGGAAAAAGCAAGCTGCCAAAATAGTACTTGTGGTAGGATTGCGTACCTATGAATACTTAAAACCAAAATATCAAAAGAAGGGGAAAGGGGTACAAAACAATCCCCCAGCTTTCTGTGCTTTTAACTCACTTGCTAAAGAAGTATCTGTGAAGGAGTTTTAAAAAAGATGCCCTGCAGAAGTCTCAGAGCACTCAGACTTCTCACAAGTGAGAGCTGTGATTGACCCCAAAGCACACTGGGTCCAGGAGGAGACTGGGCATCTCCCCAACGCCGCATCATGCCTTGCCAAGCCTGGAATGTGAAACAGGCTGATAACACTATCTCGGTGGCAGTTACAGCTCTTGGAGCACATAACACAATTATTGTTCCAGTGCTGGAATAGCCACAGAAGATGAGCTGTGGTGTGGACAATGGTTGGCATGGGAGGTGGGGGAGGGGGAAGAGCTGGCCAGACATGGAGGATGTGGGACAGGATGAGACAGAAAGGTACAGCTGGAGAGGTTTCCAAGGGGAAGTAAACGACAAAGATCCTTCCCTTCTTATACTGCCAACACTCTGCTCTACTGGAACAGAAATCCAGACACCCAGGAGTGGGATGGTTTAAAGTTCCTGAAAGTTAAGCAATTTATTTGGAGATAAATCAGTGATATTTTATAGAGGAAGTGGAGGAATGTCTATTCTAGAAAAGAGAAAGAGTGCAATCTCTCTCCACTTTGGTTAAATCTCCAGTTCTCTTTGGTGAGAAGGAAACAGACTGATTATCATCACATAGGGCCTAATTATAAAGCCCACTGGGTCTGAGGCCACTGTAAACACCCCTTACCTGGTAGGGCCAAGAAAAAAAATTCCCAGACTCCATGGAAGGATAGAAACCAACTGAAATCTGGCAACCCTGGGTCCCCTATTGTCTACTGGGAATTTTGTAGTGTTGGCAGGAAAAAGCTGTTTACACAATGGGGAGGGGAGAGGTGAAGAAACAGACTCGGGACAAACAAAACGACTTTACCCATGGAGTATGACCTTTTGGAGTGGTTCTGACACAGCATGGTCCATAATAAGACACACAAATTAAAACTACCCCAAGATAATATTTGTCACTCAATATATTGCCTGGGAGCCAAAAGTCTAACAACACACTGTTGGCGGGGCTAAGAGGAGATAGGCAGCTTTAGAGGCCGCTGGTGGCAGTTCACAGTGTGATCCCCACAGATGGCAGCTTGGCAGTATGTCAAAGGCAGTGCACACAGCCATGAGCCACTCACCCCACTACTGAGAATTTGCCTATGGCAACAATTAACAAATGTAAAATAAAGCCCATACAAGATTAGTCACTGCAGCACCGTTTACAATAGTAAAACACTGGAAACAACCCAAATGGCCATCAATAAGGTATTGGTCAAATAAATTAGAGTGCACTCACCTAAGGAAACACTATGTAGCTGTAAGAAAGCTTGTTGTTGGTTTTTTGTTCCGGTATATAAAGTGTTTTAAAGATTGATTAACAAGAGTTACTTGGGGGGGACTGGAAAGATAGGGTGGGAGTAAAATTTTTCACTTGTACCCATTTAATTTTTGAACCATATGAATGTCCTATCCATAAATATAGTAGACACTCAGAAACAACAAAAAACAAATGAGAGCATACCTGGGCAACCCCTTCTTCCCAGCCTCGGATCACCTCCTGCTTGCCTAGCATAAACTTAAAGGGCTTGTTTCTGTCCCGAGAGGAATCAAATTTCTTTCCATCTTCAAGCATCCCTGTGAAAAAGGGCAGTTGTAACATGAGCAACAAGGAGTAATGACATGAAGCAAGTCAGAAGCCATCAGCAGAGTGCAAATCCCAGGTGCCAGCAACTGAAGGGCCTGGCAGGGTGTCTAGGCCTGAGAAGGGTCTGCAGTGTCCAGGAAGGATTTCCTGTGTCCTCAGTGGGTTTCTAAGGAGTTGGGATAGTCCTTCTATCCCAGACTTGTGAATGCTCTTCCTGGACTCAAAGTAGTAAGTTAATCACCAGAGGCAGGCAGCAGTCTACTTTGGTCTGGAGAACAGGGAAGTGTACATACTCCTTGAATGAATTTCCAGTACCCTGTGTATTTCCTCCCAGACTAACTGTGGGCCCTTTAGACACATGCAGTGTAAGAAGCAATACTCCTTCCTTAATTCACCTGTCATCTTTTACAGAAATGTAGGTAGTGTCAGAACTGAGCTGAGTTGTAGGACACCAGCTTGTGTCAGAGAATCAGAGGAGTGGTGTTGGAAAAGACACAGAAAACCTCTCACTAGTCAACTGCTAATGACTCCAGCTGAATTGTGGGCCGTGCTTCCACCCCAACCAGGGACTGAGCTAGGCACTTTGCACATAAATCCGTACTCAATCCCCGCCACGGCACTGTCTCTACTTCCCACTTGAAGGGACTGAGGCAGAGAGAAGTGAAGTAACTTGCTGAAGTAGTAAAGCTAGACTATAAATCCAAAAACCATGTTCATTTTACTATTCCAGTTTCCCAGAAGCCAGACAAACCACAATGGCACCTTCCACTAAAAGGGGGAATTCCACAGCTGGAGACGCCAAGGGCGAGTGCCCTGAGAAAAGAGGAACAGACGTCTGCAATTCCTTCTTCAAAAAAGACTGTCAGCCAATTCTGATAACTGTCACCAAGATCCTGAAAACTCTTGTACCAGGATCCCAGACTGGAAGGGGTCAGCCAGCTGTTGTCACATAATTAACACAAAGCTAATTACATTGGAGGCTGAGGGTAGGGACCCACCATGGTTCTAAGTATCACTCAGAAGACCCAGTAAAATACAGAATTTTATTGTTTTTATTTTTGAGAAGGAGAGGGAAATCCCAACAAAATCCCAACCTAAAAATGTCAACACTTGTAAGTGGGATAGGGAAGCAGAGATCAAGTGAGAGCTTTATCATAGACACCAGACTATCTGTAGTCTGACAAAATAGGAAATGGGGAGGAAGGGGGACAGGAACTGCTGTCCTTATAGAGCAGGAGGGGAAATAGATGTCCTGGGGGCAGAGTGCATGCTGAGACTGCCTGAAGCCTGGAGCTGGAAGCTAAAGACTGAGAGGAGGCAGGAAGACAAGGATCCACCCCTGCCAAGTCAGTGCAGAGCCAGGAACTGGCACCCCAGAACTAGCAAGTTGGGTTGTATGTGCAGCTCATCTCTTTGCTAGAACACAATCACTATCCAGTAAAAGAAATGACAAATGGCAGGACTTAAACAGTTTTCTATAAATGAGAAGCTAGGAGAACAGGTCTCCACTCTCCGCAATACTCACTGTAGACATACACCCCCTTTCTACACTTTGGGCTCTGCTTCATACACTGAACCGAACCCAACTTAACTCAGCATTAAGGGTGAGAGTAGGCAATGAACAGCTAGGATTCTCAGATACTCTCTCTGGCCAGGCAGGGAGCCTTTCCATTTACCCTCCTGAGACTGCTTATAACAGAAATAAGGGAACCTCAACTCCCAGGCTCAGTAACCTGCTCATGGTCAGAGCCAGTGAGCAGTGGGGTCTGGCTCAAGACCAGAAATAACCTCTTCCTCGCCTGCATGTTATAGAGCAGAACTTGGGTAGAGCCCTGGGGCTTCCTAAGCAGCCACAGGGGATAAGTCACTAGGTGAGGAAGCCCTCTGGGAAAAAGCCACGATGGAAGGAAGGGTGATTCCTGACCCTTGTCTGCAATGGCTAGCTGGACAAAACCTAAAGAGAAACACCTGCCCAGAGAGGCACCTAGAACCCAGGCTGTGGCACATTCCAGACTTTGAAAAATCCAGACTCAGAACTCCTCCCCTCCTTTTTAACGGAGTATCAACTTTCCAGGAGCAGAAACAGCCTGGTCCAGTAGATTAACTGGAATCAATCTAAGCCTTTCTCTTATACCAGGGTGGGGGTGGGGGGGCATATGGGTCAGTTTGGGCAATCAGACCAACTGTGAAGTCTGGAATCTTCCAGGAAAAGACCTATCTCACTGGTAAAAAAAGAAAAAAAAAAAGAAAAACACACTCAGGAAGAAAGTTCCTGCCCTCCCTTCCTGTTGAATGCTATTATATGAGGATGTGATGTCTGGAACCATGGCAGCCACCTTGTAACCATGAAAAGGTCAGGAGCACACAGAGTACCCATCCCATTGATCTGAACCAGACCCAAACACCTCCCTCAAGACTTGTGTTCTAAGGCGTTTAAAAGTCTTAAGTCAGGTTTTTAGTTACTTGCAGCTGAAAGTAACCTAATTAACATGAGGTACATCTTTACTTGACATTTACTTAGCACACCCCACTATAGTGCTGCCAAGAGAGGAGTTAACACAGAAATGGAACTCAACAACCCACAGCACAAAGAGCTATCACTGACTGTGACATTATTTAAATGTAATAGTTACTGCATGGGACACACTTATTATTAAAGAGAATGTTGATTGTGACCCCTAAATTTATTTCACGATACACGAATGGGTCACAACTCATAATTTAAAAAATGCAGTACACCTATGAAAGAATTATCCTATTTCCTGTCAAATACGAAAATGTCCCGAACCACGACAAGACTGCATTTAATTACAGTGAAAAAAATCACAGGGTCCTGAATCAGACTCCCCATACTTTCCATTATTCCTGATTAAATGCATTGCCAAACATTCTCCAGATGTTACCCGCATCCATCCCATTTTGCCTAAAGGTGAGATGCTTCAATGACTGACTGATACCAAGTTGGGAGCACAAGGTGGGACCCAGCCTCTACTTGCTACTGAGCCAGCCTGGAAAACCAGATGCTCTTCAGCAAAGAGACTACAGGTCTGGGAGAATGTCTTGTCTAACCCTAGCTTTCTAAAACTCTTCGGGGACATTGAGGGGCAAAGCCTCTTCCTATTATTTTAAGAAACCATAAATGCCAAGAAGTAGGACTTCCGAGTAGAGGGGCTTTAAGCAGGAGCTTTGCCTATGATCTTATCCTCCTACCCTATTTCAGATGAGCTCTTGTCCCTGGGAAGAGGACATGAGCCTTGTTCCAGAACTTCAGACCACAGTCACCAACTGTCAATCTCACTTCCTTTCTTGGAGGAGAAATCTCCACAGGGAAGGGCTGAGTGATGGTGTTGGTAAATGGTGGGGGTGTCCCTTTGGCTAAAGGAGGGGATTTCCTAAAATCAAAGTCTAAAAGATAAACAATATCCCCAGAGCTGAACAGGATGTCACACAATTAGCAGAGGCTATAGGGAAGGGGCAAGGAGGTGCTATAAGGAAGGCTTCCCCACAACAGGGAGGAACCACCACTTTATATATGGCTGTAAGTTGTCAGACGGAGGAGAAGCTGGTGCAGGAGAGGAAGCAGTGTCCATTAAGCAGCAGGAATGGATGTGCATACAGTATTTTCTGAAGTGGAAATTAGGCTGGTCAGTGCTGAATGAAGAACGTTAAGAGAAGCTGTGACATCAAAACAGGTCACAGTCTTGGCCAAGATGGGAGGAACAGGGATCAGATTTACCCTCCTATCTAAACCAAAAACAGAACGAAAACAAAAAACCCAACAAATAAAAAAACAAAACACCCCCCCACACACACACACACAAAAGGACCTTAAACAATGTTTTTTGAATCGTCACCTGAGGATATTTTTTTCCATCGCTTTTTCAGAGACTGTGGAAGGGAGAGAGACACATTGATTGGTTGCCTCCTGCACGCGCCCCGACCTGGGGCCAGGGCTTGAGCCTGCAACCGAGGTTTGTGCCCTTGGCTGGAATCAAACCTGGGACCCTTAAGTCTAAGGGCCAATGCTCTAACCACTGAGACAATCTGGCTAGGGCTTAAACAATGTTTTTCAAAACACTGAACATCACAATGAAGAACAGGGATTCCTGAGGGATGGGAAACTAACAAGGTGAGCCCTATGACTGGCCCAGCTTACATCCCTGGGAGTTTCCAGGGAGAGAGAACTGGGATGGAACTCAAAGCAGCTCAAGTCCACAGGACACATACCAGGGAGGCAAGAACTATAGAGAGATCCCCAGGGATTTGAAGAGGGTCCCCCTTAAGTATTCAGAGAGTACTAATCAATGCATGTGTTTGAGGAAACTACTCAAGGCCAGGAAAAGAACTATCCAAAACGTTTAGAAGGATCAGTGCGTGCTCCCACTAGCTAGACAGGAGAAAGTCACAGTTCTTGAGGCACTGGGTAGGATACACAGAAAGATCTGAGGCAAGATCTTGGAAATTGTTTACAAGTAACTTAAGTGCTTCCCAGTACAAAGCTCAGGATGATTTACAGGAATGAAAATAGCCAGTACCCAAAAAGGTAAAATTCATAATGTCTATTACCCAAAATTACCAAGCATGCAAAGAGGCAGAAAAACATGACCCACAATGTGAAGATTAGTCAATGAATTGAAACCAACCCAGAACTAACATACGTTAGAATTAGTAAAGAATGAGAGTAAGATTCAGATCAAACTTGCGTTGATGAAAACTACAATGCCTGAGATGAAAAATATACTGGGCTAAAACAATGGGACACCCACAGGCAAAAAGTAAAAATCTCAATCTGCACTTCACATCATAATTGATATCAACTCAAAATGGGTAACAGACCTAAATATAAATAAGAAACCTATAAAACTTCTAAAAGAAAATAGGGAAATAATCATTGTGATTGTGGCTTAGGCAAATATTTCTTAGATATAAAGCCAAAAAGCATAATTCATAAAAGAAATGAACTTCATTAAAATTAAAAACTTCTGCACTTTAAAAGATCCTTTTAAGAGAATGCAAAGGAAAGTCACAGA